CCTCCAAAAGTGATTTCTGCCAAAGTGATATCCTAAAGTACAGGTCCAACCATGTCCCCTTCCTGCTTAATAAACTCTAGCAAATCGCCGTGAATTTTATGATCAAATGTGAAATCCTATTTGTCACTTAAAGGTCTTCATGTCCGTGCCTGTTCCTACCTTCCCAATCTTCTTAAATTTTTTTTTCTCCTCCATATATTCTACAATCCAATGACCATGGTTTACTGCCTTGCATGTAGCAATGTCTTAGGAATGGCTGCCCCCATGGCTTGAATCCTGGCCTTCCTCACCTCTGCCTCAACATCCTTCAAGACTTAGCTCCACTACCACCTGCTGCAAGAGGCCTTTCCTGGCCCCTCTCCCCATCTACTGGAGCCTTCCCACCTAAAATTACCCCCCTTCTATTCTGCATGCATGCTATATGTATCTATGTATTTACACTCTGTCACCCCCACTCATATGTAAGATCCTTAAGGGTAAGAATTGGTTTTATGTTTTTGCATTTCTTTGTATTCCCAATGCTTACCACAGTGCCTAGTGCATGAAAAGGACTTAAGAAATGCTTGGTAATTCATTAACTCTGAATTGTCTTTCACTACAGTGGTGTCAAACTCAAATAAAAGCATAGGTCATGAATCCATGCATAAGGACCCCTGAACCACACACTGACAATTTTGAAAAGTAATGTTTTGTATGTTTTATTGTATTTTTTATTTTGTTAATTATTTCCCAATTACTAGAAACATCATGTGTTTTTATTTTATGGCCAAATTTTTTTTTTCAATCTTGTTCTCCTGACCCTCGTCCCCACCCACCCAGGCCCATAAAACCCTTCTTCCCACCCTTCCCCTATTCCTGGGACCCTTACCCCCCCTTCCTAGAATGTAGTAGAAATGTTTCTCTCCACTCCTTCCCTGTCTTTCCCCCTCCCTCTCCCCCTGGTAGTTTCATATTTGCTAAAGATGAATTTGCTCATTAAACATTTTGTTGTATTTTTTAAAAAATTTCCCAATTACATTTTAATCTGGTTCAACTGTAGTCAATGAGGGTGTGGTCTCTGGGGCAGCATGTCTGACACCTCTGTTTGATGACACCAAGCGGGAAAGCTGAATGGCTAGCTGGGCCACCTTGATCTACCCAGGCCTGATAAACTGCAGAAATTCTAAATTCCTTTCCTTGCTCTCTTTACATTCCTTTATTTACCAAGCACGATGGCTGACAGATTTGCACAGTGAAATGAACAGAAATGTTCAACAAGGTTTTCAAGAGGCTAGTTATCTGGCTGCATGTCATAGCTGCTAGGAAACAAGCAGCAGGGTCACTAAAAACAGACCCAAGTGGAAGCTTTCTCCACTTACACTGCAAACCAGCGTCAAGCTTCTTTCACCAAAATGAGGCCTCGACTATGGCTATTCTTTCATTTTGGCTAAGCAGCGATCTACTGTAGAATTTTTTTTTTAAGACAAAATCCCTGCACTTTAAAATAGCCCTTCATGCATGGCTAATGATCCTAGATGGGGACAGATGGAGAAGAGTTCTTTCTGGAGAAAAAAACAGATTTTTAGTTAGAGAAAAGAGAGTCCTAGGTTTCATTCTTGTCCCACCACTAATTTATTATGATTGACCTCAAAAAAATAATTTGCTCCCTTGGTGTCTCAGTCTATAACATTAGACAAAATCCTATCATATGAGGCAACATAGACATAATGAGACAAAAATGAGATAATATTTTTCTAAAAATAATAATAGCTATCATCTGTAAAATACTTTAAGATTTGCAAAGAGCTTTATATAGGTTATCTCATTTGATTCTTACAACCCTGTTAGGAATGTTCTTCATTATCTCCATTTTTCAGATGAGGAAATGAGGCCAGAAAAGGTTGAGTGACTTGTCCAAGGTCACACAGTACTAAGTATGTAAAGATTTGAATTCAAATCTTCCAGATCACATGTGCAGTAACTTATACCCTGTGCCACTTACTGCAAGTGGCCTCTCCTGGTCTCCTCATCTATTTGAGTCTTACTCTTTAAGCTGACCTTAAAGTTACCTTTCTTCTACCTCTACATAAAACTTATCTTGTACTCACCCAGCACCTTTTTATTTACATGCTGTCCCCTTCATTAATATGTAAGATCCTGGAGGACAAGCACTTAAGCAAAAAGGGCAAGAGGGAAGAACTAAGTCCAGGCCCACCCGGCTTTGAAACCACTACACACACTACCCCCACCCCCTCTTAGTCAGTTATCCTCACAAGTATGGTTACAGGAAAAATTCCTACTCAAGGGACAGACGTCATTATAAAACACAAATAAATAATTTTGATTACATATAATAAAATCATATTTGCATAAACAAAATCAATGGCGATGAACAGAAAAAGTCTAGTGGGAAAAAATACTTGAATCAAATATCCCTGATAAAATACTGATATCGATAGGGATCTATAGGAAGCAGACAGAAATATATAAGACACAGAACCATTCCCCAATGTACAAACGGTAAAGGGATAGAAGAAGTTTTCAAAGGAAGAATTGCAAATTGCAAAAGATCACATAAAAACATAAATCCAAATCTTAAATAGTATATGACATGCAAATTATGTTGTTCAATCATTTTTCATTCCTGTCCAACTCCTTGTGACCCCATTTGAGACTTTCTTTGCAAAGATCCCAGAGGGGCTTGCCATTTCCTTCTCCAGCTCATTTTATAGATGAGGAAACTGAGGCAACAGGGTTAAGTGACTTGCCCAGGGTCACACAGCTAGTAAAGTGTCTAAGACCAGACTTGAATTCAGGCAGATGAGTCTTCCTGATTCCAGGCCTGGCACTCTATCTATTGCACCACCTAACTGCCCTATGCAATTTCTAGCAATTGAGATTTCAACTCAAAATCAATCAATCAACAAACTTTTATTAAGTGCTTACTGTAAGCTAAGCATTGGAGATATAAAGACAAAAACCAAATAGTCTATGCCCTCAAGTAGCTCGTACTCTATTGGAAGAAACTAGTCCATATAAGCATATATGAAATATATACAAAATAAATACAAGAGATTTTTTTAGTTAAGGCATTAGCAGCAGTACTTATATCCTGAAAACTGTCAAAGATAATAAAAAAAAGCAAACAGTCAATGTTGGAGGGGCTGTGGCAATATAGGCACATTAACACATTGTTAGAGCTGTGAAGCAGCCCAACTCTTCAATGTCAATTTAGAATTATACAAGAAAATTATTCATAAATTCATAAATTATTCATACCCTTTGACTCATCAGTCCCATTACACATAACACCAAGAAACAAAGGCCCAATAGATAATATCAAAATATACATAGCAGTGCTCCTTATGATAGCAAAAAATTGGAAACAAAGTGAGTGACTATCATTTGGAAAAAGGCTGAGATAACTATGGTCATGGAATTTAATGGAATAATATTCTGCAATAAGAAAATATGACTATAAGGAATTCTGAGCAATATGAGAGATTTTTATGGATTTTTGCAAAGATAAGCAGGAACAAAAAATAATGCATGACTACTACAATGTAAACAAAAAGATCACTCCAAAAAGAACAAAATGCTGAATAACTGGAAAAAAAATGCTCCCAGAGATCAGATGATAAAATACACCTCCCTCCTGGTGGCAAAAAAGAGAAAGACTACTGTAAAGTACAATGTGGTGGGTCCTACGTTTGTCAGATGTGCTCACTGTAGGGAATATGTTTGCTTAACTGTTATGAAGGAGGGATCATTCTGCAGGGAGAATTAGGAATATTTCCAGTAATGACTCTAATATGGAAACAAAGGTAACAAGAAAACTTTTTAAAAAAGAAGATAAGGCCATAGGTTTAAAGCTGGAAAGTGACTTAGGTTTTCTATTAAAAGATTTCTATTTTATATTTACTTACATGTGTAAATACTACCTCTCCTAACAGAATGCAAGTTCTTTGAGGGCAGGGGTTATTAATTTTTATCTTTGTATTTCCCAAGCACTTAGCCCCACGCCTTTCACATACTTTAATAAAAGCTTAGTGACTATTTAAACAAACAAACTCCTCTTCCCACTAGATTTGACAATGTTAACAACTTTGTCAGAGATCCTCTTTCTAATATCTGGCTACTTACAGGCAGGCAGTCCTCTTGATGTCCACTAAATTCCTTCTGCTGCAACCTTAGCTCATTTCATCTTTTCCTGGTCTCTTTGGAAGCAAACAACAGGGGCTCACCATCATTCATGTGGAATATCTCTGAAGTCTTGAGATCTCACTTCATAAACCCAGTTCTTTCAATCTATGTGCCATTCTACCCGATTTATTTCATTTCCCACATAATCTCAAAAGATGTAGCTGAAGTTCAAGTCAGAAATAAAAGCAATTCCATTGTGGGGAGATCTGTATCTCTGCTGTTTCACCTTGCCAAATGATTACTGCCTCTTCCACCTGCTATATTTCGAACAGAACAGGGCAAGAGCACATGCGCACGCACGCGCGTGTGCACGTGCACACACACACACTCACACACACTTTTTATGGCATTTGTCCCCACTTACCCCTGATCTCCTCAGCTACCCTGCTTATAGCAGTCACCGAGTCTGTTAAGTGCTCTTGTTACAGGGAGAGGTAGGCCCTGGGTCACCTTAATGAGGCAGAAGATTACATCTGATGGTCTCCGTCTGAAAATTAGTATAGCCCAGAAGCACAGAGTCACCCTTCCTTGCTTTGCCCTCAGACAACAACAGCCTTTGTGTGCACCTGACTGAAAGAGAGCTGCTTCCTTTCTAGTGCTAATAAGCCCAAGAGAAAACCCACAGGAATAAGGCTAGTTACATTCCATGGGAAAAGCCTGGCTCTTAACTCCCAGTGGCAATCATCCAAAAGAAGGGAGAGCATATCAGCAGGGCTACTAAGCTGCCATTTCTCTCTCTCTCTCTCTCTCTCTCTCTCTCTCTCTCTCTCTCTCTCTCTCTCTCTCTCTCTCTTCACTGAGGGCTCAGGTCCACTTACCAGATAATATAGCTTTACAAGATGGCAAATACTTGTGCTTCTGGAAGGCCTTTCAGCAGAGGATGTTGAAGAATTCACAAGCACAAATTAAGCAGCCAACATTCCTTATGGAGATACCAGACGAAGGGCATTTGGTCATACATTAGTCTTTCCATTCACCCCTACAGATAAAGAAAGCAATCACCAGTAAGAGCATTCTCTATAGGAAAGCAAGCATGAAGCTAGAGTCAGGCTTCAATCATTCACATCAACTATCATCTTGGGCCACCTCCAGTCATCTTGATGAATATCTGGCCACTGGACCCAGAAGGCTCTGGAGGAGAAAGTAAGGCTGGTGACCTTGCACAGCTCTTCCTCACTTAAATCAAAGTCAGTTGCAAGTCATGTCATCACCTCCCTGACGTCATGGTCTTCTTCGAGAATGAAGGACAAACACAACAACAACAACGAGCAAAGAGGAGGACAGACTATCTCAAAGGGCAGAGAATCCCCAGATCATTCCTGTTTGGCTTTGGAAAGCATTCCATAAATTCTCCAACAAGCTCACCATCCTAAACATTTTTGGTTTGAACTAATGCTAAAATATTGTTATTTTCCCTGAGCACACAGCCAGTTAAACCAATTCACAGCTCCGTCAATCACGTATTCGTGTGCCTATCTTCTCACAGCTCCTCCAACTTTGACTAGTTCTGGGGTTTGTCATTTTTACAATTTTCAGCCTGTATATAATGGCAGAGTGGAAAGAGCTGTGGGTGTATCCCAAGGCTCTGGCTTGGGTTCCCTTCCCCTTCTAATTTATATTTTCTTGGTGATTTCATCAGCTCTCATAGGTTCAATTACCATGCTATACAAATGATTCCCAGATCTTTATATCCCTATTCTTCCTGCCAAGTAACTGTCCCACATCAGTTACTACCTACTAGACATTCCAAATCAAATGTCTTATAGTCACTTTTAACAAAACAACAAAAACTGAACTCATTATCTTCCCTCCAAAGCCACCCCTCTTCTACACTCCCCATTTTTCATTGAGGATGTCATCAGCCTTCTAGTCATTGCTGTCTCTTCATCTTCTCTCACTCCACATATCCAATCAGTTGCTGCTAAGTTTTATTGATCCCACCTCCACAGCATCTCCTGAATTCATCCATCATACAAGTTCAGGCCCACATCGCATTTCACTTAGATTTGCAAAATCAACCTAATTGGCCTCCCTGCTTCAAATCTCTCTCCTCTTCAAGCCGTCCTCCATCTAACTGACTGTAAGGACTACAGTAGCAGCCTCCCCAATCTACTAAAAGAAGAAACCCTGTGCAAGCTCAAAACTCCTTGTGTTAAGTAAAGCAGGCAATATCCCAAAGCCACTTTTCCTTCTAGCAGGGAGTTTAAATGTCAACTACCCTCCAACTGCCCAAGAGTCTTCCCTCCCCTCCACTAGCATGAATCAACACCAGTGGCCACCTCTTATGAGTGCTCCTCATTCTTTCTCCCAATGCTAAGTCCACCTAGATCCACGTAAGAACCCTATAAAACCACCAGACTTTACTGGTTTGAGGAGAGTGCCCCATTCTTTCCAGGGCTCCAATGGACCAGATCGATTTCCATCATCTGTCCTGAATGTCCAACATGTCCTAGGTTGGTCCCCTCAAGTTCGTCTTCTTACACTTTACTCCTTTCCATGTACTCTTCAGTCCAGTGATTCTGGTCTCCATGCTACTCCACAAACAAGATGCTCCATGTCTCAGCTCTGAGCATTTTCTCTGATTATCCCCATGACTGGAATGCTGTCCCACCCCACCTACTGGATTCCTTGGCTTCCTTTAAGTCCCAGCTAAAGCTTCATCTTTTACAGGAAGCCTTTCCCAACCCCTCTTAATTCTAGTGCCTTCTCTCTCTTAATTAATTCTTATTTATCCTATATTTAGTTTGTTTGTGCATATTTGTTTGCTTATTGTCTCCTTTATTTGATTTAAAACTCCCTGAGGACAAGGACTGTCTTTTGCCTTTTTTGTATCCCTAGCACCTAGCACACAGTAGTCACTTCACAAACATTTACTGACCAAATCAATAAAGCTGCCTTGCTTTGGAGTCTTGTCGTGCGCTCTCTGTTTCTTTGTTTGGGACTCCAGTATTCCAAACCATCCTAACCCTGCATTTAGACACCACCAAAATGATATGCTCAAAGCACAGATCTGACTGTGTTACTCTCCTGCTTGATGTCAGCGGTTGCCTATTATCCCTAGAATCAAATATAAATGCCTCTGTTTGGTATGTGAAGTCCTTGACAACCTTATTCCAATCCTCACTTCCAGTTTTATTTTATATTACTCTTTTTCATGCATTCTTCAGTCCAGGCAATTAGACTTTCCTCATATGACACTGCATTTCCCAGCTCCACGCCTTTGAAGAGACTGTTTCCCATGCCTGGAGCACATTCCCGCCTCACTTTTGCCTCTGCCTCAGCCCTCCCTGAGCTATCAGTGCCCACTCATCACCAGAAATTTGCTCTGTATATACGTGGTTTGCTTGTATAGAATATAAGCTCCCTAAAGGCAGAGAATATTTCATTTTTGTCTTTGGTTTTCCAGCACAGTTCCTGGGACACTGTAGGTACTAACCCTAACTCTAAATGCTTTTTGATTAATTAATTAAAATCAAACGTCCAAATGCCATAAAGAATATGAACAAAATTTCCAAAAGAAATACAAACTGTAAGTCACCATAAGAAAAATTTTACTCATCAATAATAATAAAAGTAAAGTAAAACAACTCTGAGTTTTCACTTCATACAGAAGTGGGAAAAGATAATAAAAAAGGCAAATGGTCAACGTCGAAGGGGCTGCTGGAAGCCAATATCACTAATACAATGTTAGGAGAGCTGGGAATTGGCCCAACCATTCTGGAATTGTATGACAAAAGTTACTGAGCGGTTCATCCCTTTTGACCTCATCTCACCCCAAGGAAATGGAATGCAAAAAGAAAGTTCTCATATGCATAAAAATATTCATAGAAGCAATTTTAGGGTAGTAAAAAACACCAGAATCAAGTGGGCACTCTTTGATCGTGGAATGGTTGAACAAATTGTAGTATATGAATGTAACAGAATGACAAATCAGGAATGCAAATATAAAGTGGATGGGAGGGAAACATTCATCACAGCCTAGTACAAGACAGGAAACGTGAAGATTTGTGGGAATTGATACGTAGTAAACAGAATTAGAAGAAGCATATGCAACAACGGATATAAGAATGTAAATAAAAACAACGCAAAAAGGCATTGGAATTCAGAATAAATGCAGTGACCACTGTATTTCTAAATCAGATGAGCAGAGACATGGAAATACTTATGGTATTTAGTTGGTCATTTTTGCTAGGCTTTTTCTTTGTTACAAATGAGTATCTGGGGCTGTGGGTTGGAGAAAAGCAAGGATATAAAGAGAAATAATTATACTACAAAAAATATAGTCATGAATAAGAATTTTTTTAAAAGTTCTGTGGATGATTATATAATCCTATATAATCAGAAATTAAGTATACATGATGCATACAAATACCTGCCTCTGGATCATTACATAAAAACAGCTAGCATTTATATAGCACTTTAAAGTTTAAAAGCACTTTACAAATATTATCTAATTTTATCGTCACAACAACCCTAGAAGGTAGGTGCTATTATTATCTCCATTTTACAGATATGGAAACTGAGACAGACCTAGGTCAAGTGACTTGCCCTGGATATACAAGCTAGCTAGTGTCTAAGCCTAGATTGGAATTCAGGACTTATTGACTCCAGGTCCAGTATTCTATCCACTAACCCACCTAGCTGCCTACATATTATATTCCCAATAATAGTTACAAATAGAAAAAAACAAAGCCTACCCTCTGAAGGAATGATCTACCCAGATTTAGAGGAAACATCATCATCACTATGTATTTATAGAAGAGGTTCTTAATCTGGGGTCCGTGAACATAAATACATATGTGTGTGTGTGTATAATGTCTTGATAACTGTATTTCAATATAATTGATTTCTTAGTGATCACATGCATTTTATTTTATGCATTTAACCAGAGTAGCAAAGGAGTCTATGGTGCAAGCAAATATTAAAACCCCCTAATTTATAGTGTTATTTACACTGTGCATTGTTGATGGAGTTGTGAACTTATCCAGCCATTCTGGAGAGCAATTTGGAACTATGCCCAAAAGGGCTATAAAACTGTGCATACCCTTTGATCAAGCAAGACCACTATTAGGTCTGTATCGCAAACAAAGCACAAAAAAGAAGAAAGGACCCACATGTACAAAAATATTTATAACAACACTTTTTGTGGTGGCCAAGAATTGGAAATTGAGGGGAATTCACATCATTTGGGGAATGGCTGAACAAGTTGTGGTATATGAATGTAATGGAATACTATTGTTCCGTAAGAAATAATGAGCAAGTGGATTTCAGAAAAACCTGGAAAGACTTAATGAACTGATGCTGAGTGAAGTGAGAAAATCAGGAGAACGTTGTACACAATAACAGTAACATTGTGTGATGATCAACCTAGCTCTTCTCAGTAATAAAATGATCCGAGATGATTCCAAAAGACTCATGATGGAAAATGCTGACCACATCCAGAGAGAGAGAACTGGAGTCTGAATGCAGATAGAACGTACTATTTTCACTTTTTTTGTTGTTTTTTGTTTTTTCTTTCTCATGATTTTTCCCTGTTGTCCTGATTCTTTTTTCACAATATGACTAATGTGGAAATATATTTAATATGCTTGTACATGTATAACCTATATCAGACTGCTTGCTGTCTTGAGGAGGGGGGAGAGAAAAGAGGGAGGGAGAAAAATTTGAAACTCAAAATCTTACAAAAATGAATGTTGAAAACTATCTTTACCTGTAATTTGAGAAAAAAATACTATTTAATGTTAAAAAAAGGAAAAGAAAAAATGAAGTGTTCTTTAACCTCTGATTGGCTTTCATGCACATAATCTTGTTTGATTGTCTCAGGGTAGGCAGAGAAAGCATTGTATAGTAACCACATTTTGATCCTAGAGATGAGGCAACAGAGTCAAGGAGGATAACTGACTTGCCCAAAGAGAAACAGCAGAAAGTCATAGACCTGGGCTTAGAAATCCAAGCCTCTTGATCCCATGTCAGTTCCAT